CTGAGGCAGCATCTCCACGCTCTAAGTCCTCATCTGATGCCCTGCCGGCACTGCTTCCGGCCATCCTTAAGCCCGGTTCAGGGTCCACTTAATGTGGACATGCTAGTTCGAATTAGCAAAATGCTAATTCGAACTAGTTTTTTAGTCTGGATGCGTTAGTACGAATTAGCTTTGTTCGAATTAACGTTGTAGTGTAGACGTACCCCAAGAGAGGACCAGATCACTGCTGGCCTGCGACTTTGCTGAGGAGCTGCTGGGTATTCTCGCTCCTCCTTAGCGCTTCTGGGCTGCCTGCTGCGTGGCCTCCTCGGTTCTTCGCACCCCAGTGGACGCATTTGTTGGGGGCTGGCTAGAGGTCCAGGTCAGAGATCACCGTGCATGCTCCTAGGGGGCAGAACAGAGTCCATAATCCAGAGGTCTCAAATCCGTGCACTGCTGGGGGCATGGAGAAATGTTCACGGGGTGCAGCTGAGGTCTGGCCCAGGAGGGAACATCCCTCAGCCCTCTTCCTTGGCCCCAGTCCCAGCTACCGCCCCTGCTCCCGGGGATCCACTTCCTGCTGCAGCTGCTAGTCCCACACACAGGGCCCAAGCTGCTGGCCAAGACCCCCAACTGAGACTCCTGTCCCACCTGCAGTTAGGGTCCCAGCTTCAGCCCCCTTACCTCTGTCTGTGTCCCTCCATTTCGGAGCCATGTTCCTGGCCCTGGCTCTGAGGGGTAAGGGGAGGCACAGACAGCAGAAAGGGGGGTGAGGTAAAAAGTTTGGAGACCACTGCCATCATCTGAGGAAATTCTCTCTGTCAGAGCAGCAATCAGGCAGAAAACGATTTTCCTAATCACCAAACATTCTGCATGCTCTTCCATTCAGCTGTTAAACAGACACAATAGATGTTCCCTTTAGTGATGAAATCACACTAATAGGACAGTTTAGAAGGCCTCCTAATATCTCACAGGCAGCTCATCCAAGACAATCCGAAACTGTTTCTAAGGCCTCACTAAGGGGATAGATAAATATTTAAACTGCCTATTAAATGCTGCATTAGCTACATGCAATGCACCCAGATCCATGCAATCACAGTGTTCCGCTCTCACGTAGCACTTTTCAAAGCACTGGAGCGACATTACCCAGCTGAGCCTCACAACACTTCCATGAGCTAGCTAAGTAAGTCACATTAGCCCCCCTTTTACAGGTGATGAAAGTGGGACGAGCAGTCAAATGACTTGCTCAAGGTCACAGCTCGTCAGTGGCAGAGCTTAGATAAGAATGCTGATGTTCCTGGTTGGTGTCCCAGTGATCGCTCTATTTTTAAAACGGGTTTAAGACATTACCCTGTCCTGGAAGGGGATAATGCAGAAGAGTGCAGGAGAACAGACGTGGTCACTTTGTCATATAATGCGGGGGAAAGAGCCAGAGCAAAAAAAGTGTGCTGTGTGCTGCAGCCATTCAAGAAAGCCGGACATGCACCATACAGCAACAGGTAACACCATCACCTGAAAAGGGTGGCCCTACTGGGGGTGTGCTGACCATTCAGGCGCCAGGAGAGACAGCGAGAAGGGACAGCATTTTCTTTTTTAGCATCAGGACACGTCTACAGGTTTCTGGAAATGCTTAATTCATCCTGAATGCACTCAAAGGCTTAACAGAATCAGTTCCATATTAATCACATGATACCAACCATATGATTACATGCGCCATGCCGTCTGCATTCTGTAAGCACAAGCCCAGTGAAAAGCCACGATCAGCACAGCTTGCCAGCTGCAACAGAGAGATCCTGCCCCGTGATGAATTGTCCTGGGTGGGTCCCCAGCTGTATGCTGCAGAGGCAGGTTTGACCCCCAGGATTTCATGAAGTTATTTTTGTGCGTGATTCTAAATACACCAAAGCACTTCCTATTGAGAGACACATTCGTGTATAAATAGTTACAGCCCCTTCCTTGCGCTCTGAGGTGTAATTAATACATAGAGCAACTGCGTCTAAAATTCACAAATGCTTGGGAAGATGTAAAATTTAATTAGTTTGCCCACACGATGCCATATGTCAACTGTGAGCTCAATTATTCTTTATCGGGAAGCACTGACTGCACTTTTTTTACATTAATAATTTCCTCCTTGGAGTCATGCTTAATCAACACCCTGAACTTACAACACACACACACACACTGAATTAAATGTTGAGCACAAGGAAATCGGATCCTTGGTAAGTAAATTACAGCATAATTTTGCTTCATTCCAAACCCACATATACAGTATTAGGGTCAGATTAGAATCCCACGTCATGGGACGGATTGCCGTATCACCCCAGAAACATGCTATTTTGCTTGCTCATGGAGATGTTCCTTTCAGCCTGGGTATGTTTCCACCCACTGTTCATTTGAGGTGCTGATCACTCATGCAAGGCCATATAAACTTTGCAACAGGGGCTGTGCAGGGAGGGTAGCAGGGCATGAAGGATAGGGGTGCGTCAGCAAAGAGTTCCCCTCTGCTGAAGGGGCAGCTGAAACTGGGCAAACTGAGGTACAGCTCAGTATTGCTGCAGCTTAGGGGCCAGTGCCAGATTTATGCACAAGTGCAGTAAATTACATTCTAGGGCCTCAGATTACGAGAGGCTTCTAAATATTAAAAAAATGACTAGTTTTTAGTTGCATCCTCACCTCTGTACCAGTACATATGCAAATATAAAACTTTATTATTTCTGTTTTTATTGTCCTTTCTGTTAGACTAACACACGGTTTTTTGGTAATGCTATGGAACCTCTTAAATCTGATATCGTTTAAGGCCCCAGGATGTCTTAATTTGGCCTTTGACATCGTTTAAGGCCCCAGGATGTCTTAATTTGGCCCTGCTAAGACCCCATCTTGAAAAGGGGAAACTGGCAGTAAGAAGTTACCGTGCAGTGCAGTTCTTACCTAAGGATGGGAATCATAGAATCATAGAATAATAGGACTGGAAGGGACCTCGAGAGGTCATCGAGTCCAGCCCCCCGCCCTCAAGGCAGGACCCAGCTCCATCTACACCATCCCTGACAGATGTCTATCTAACCTGTTCTTAAATATCTCCAGAGAGGGAGATTCCACCACCTCCCTTGGCAATTTATTCCAATATTTGACCACCCTGACAGTTAGGAATTTTTTCCTAATGTCCAATCTAAACCTCCCCTGCTGCACTTTAAGCCCATTACTCCTTGTCCTGTCCTCAGAAACCAAGAGGAACAAATTTTCGCCTTCCTCCTTGTGACACCCTTTTAGATATTTGAAAACCACTATCATGTCCCCCCTTAATCTTCTTTTTTCCAAACTAAACAAGCCCAGTTCATGAAGCCTGGCTTCATAGGCTTCTCTAGACCTTTAATCATTCTTGTCACTCTTCTCTGTACCCTTTCCAATTTCTCCACATCTTTCTTGAAATGTGGCACCCAGAACTGGACACAGTACTCCAGCTGAGGCCTAACTAGTGCAGAGTAGAGCGGCAGAATGACTTCACGAGTTTTGCTTACAACACACCTGTTGATACAACCTAGAATCATATTTGCTTTTTTTGCAACAGCATCACACTGTTGACTCATATTCAACTTGTGGTCCACTATGACCCCTAGATCCCTTTCCGCCATGCTCCTTCCTAGACAGTCGCTTCCCATCTTGTATGTATGGAACTGATTGTTCCTTCCTAAGTGGAGCACTCTGCATTTCTCCTTATTAAACCTCATCCTGTTTACCTCTGACCATTTCTCTAACTTGCTAAGGTCATTTTGAATTATGTCCCTATCCTCCAAAGAAGTTGCAACCCCACCCAGTTTGGTGTCATCTGCAAACTTAAGTAGCCCCAGATATGAATGCAGTAGCCACTAGGCCACTGCCTATAGTAAAAGATCCTTTTTCAAAGGTTGGCTATAGATATAGGAGACACCTCACTCAAGGGACCCTGACTCACAGCCCACACAGAAGTAGGACAGAAAGCAATCTGTCTCTGGGGAAGGAACATAGAGTTATCCCAGAAAGGGGAGATTCTTTCTCTCAGATGCATGTGTAACCCACACACCTAGTGGGTGTGATTCACTGTCCCATGTAGTGGCACTTAGCCTACTTACAGTAAGAGATAAGAACAAGTGAGCTCTACAGCCTAATTTGAGAGCCAGCTGGTTTTATAGCTCAAGCTATAGCGGCTCCTACACTAAGCTCTAGAGGTCCCAGGTTTGAATTTGGCTGGTGGTGGTCACACAGGCAGCTCACGGACAATGACAGATGCCAGAGAGGGCATGTTCCACCTGGCACTGGGTAACTGGATCCCAGGAGTGAGTGCGTGGATGAGCCTTGCCTGTGGAGAGCAGATAGGCTATCCAGTAAACATGCACACAGAGAGGCTAAGCAGGTGGGAGCACTGTGAATCTTGGGATAGGTGCCCAGAGAGATGTATGGCTTGCCAGGGCCACAGAGAGCAACAGTCTGAACACAGGGCTTGGCAGCACAGGAAGGAGCCAACCTCTCACAAGCCAAGCTAGGCTACCACAGCTTAGCTGACTCTATAATTCCTTGCCTGTGCTTAGCATGCGGCGAAGCTACATCCTCAGGCACTCAAGGGCCCACTGAAGAGACGTCCAAAGTCACTGGCAGACAGGGGGGCCGGGATGGGAATATAACCCTGCCCAGCGGCAGAGGAGTGCAGCGAGGACGAGAACCGTGTTGTCATTCACACGATGGGGGTCTGTTTTTTTTTAACTGCAGGTAGAGGCAGGGCCAGATTAACCTGCCCCTGGGTCCTATGCAAACAGGCCCGCTGAGAGGGGGAGGAAAGGGGACAATTACCCTGGGAACTAGCGATTCAATGGGGACCGGAGCTCCTGGCAGCCTCCACCATTATTACAGCAGCAGCCAGAATCCCAGGCCCCTTTGAATCACCACCAGAGCACCATGCCAGGGAACTCTGAGAGCTGGGGGGAGAGAGATGCTCCATAATCTGGGAGGTGCTAAGGACTGATTGCTTTTGGCCCCGCCCCTTGTGGGGGCACAGCGCACCTTGCCCTGGCGCCCCCCCAGTGGCTGTCAGCCCTGCAGTATGTAAACATGCACCTCTGGCCTGGGCTCCCTCTTCTCCTGGATAAGAACCATTAGCCAGAGAGCACACTCACTGCAGCCGGGCTGGCCATTCTGTGCTGCTCAGCATGGCAGAGGGGCAGCCCAGCAAGATCTGGATCAATGGCATTGTGACCCGGTGCATGGGGGTGCTGCATCATTCAGCAGCCACTCCTCCATCATGGCGACCAGAGCAGCCTCAGGGGGAGCAGACAGTCCAGGCAGATCCAAGGGACAGCCAGCCTGGCCATGATAAGTGTACAGGATAGCTGTTTGGTGGGCCCAGCATACACATGAATGGCACAAATTAGTGTGAGTCAGAGAACAGGAAGAAGATAAAGAGAGGAGAGGAATGGACGAGGAAAGGGAAGGGGTGCACCAAAATTATACCATTACTCACTACACGCAGCATGACTGTAGCTCCAGGCTAGCTAGTATAAGGAAGATGATGCACTAATTTTTTGCCCTTCATTTACACTAAGATAGACTCTGGCCCACTAGTGACACCAACACTAACGATTAGACCTGGACTTTTTTTTTTAACATTGACAATATTTCAAAATTCTAGCTTTGGGGGGAAAAAACTTTTTTTTCTTGACCAGCTTTATCAACAGCTAGTTTTCATATTGGCTCAAAGGCCTCACACATTCACCAAGCCTCAAAATATTCCTGAAAGGTAGGCAAAGGCTATTACACTGACAGGCCTCCAGTGTGTCAGTGACTTGTTTTTTTTTCCTAAATCACACAGTGACAGGCTCAAGGGATTAAATGCTGTTAAGAGTCATGACTTGGAAATGACCTTTTTGCTGTTTTGTCTCCATATTCTGCATGTTGCGCTACACACCCTACAACAGAGAAATACTATGTTTAGCACAGCATACCAGGAACATCACATGCATTTTACCTGGTGTAGACAACAGCCAGCTTCTGTGCAAGTTCAGAAAACCAACCCTGCCTTTACTACATGTGTTGTGTTCTTATCATGTCATAGAATGAGATTTGCTTCTTACATTTCTCCCTGGGACCCATTCACACCCTCTCTGCATGTTTCCTTAGGTGCTATTGTTCATGTACACATGGGGTATGTCTAGACTACTTCCCTCTGTCGCCAGAGGGATGTAAATTAGACATACCGAAATTGCTAATGAAGCGGGGATTTAACTATTCCACGCTTCATTAGAATAAAAATGGCCGCGGCTTTTTGCCAAAGAGGCACTTTGCTGGCAAAAAGCAGCAGTCTAGATGAGCACTGGTCAGCAAGGAAAGCCTTTTCTGACCGATCCTGTAAACCTCATTGCACAAGGCATAAGGGATCAGTCGGAAAAGACTTTCCTTGCCGACTGATCCCTGTCTAGACTACCGCTTTTTGGTGGCAAATTACTGCGACGGCAAAATGCGGTGGCCATTTTTATTCTAATGAAGCACGAGATATTTAAATCCCTGCTTCATTAGCAATTTCGGTATGTCTAATTTACATCCATCTGGCAACAGAGGAGCCCATGGAGTGAGCAACAGTCATGGAAAAATAGGACAAAGTCAGAGATTACAAAACATTCCTGGTTCTAATAACCCTCCTTTATATATTCAATATCAATACAATTTACTTCAAGTTTCTCAAAGGGACAAAAGTACCACAGAAGAGCATAATACCTGAAACTAAAAGGAATAGTTTTTTTCCATGCTGTACTTAAGTACTTCACTATTTTATAGAAAAATTGAAATCAGAATCTCTTTAAAAATCATTTTCCTATGTTACAAAAAACACCTTCAATTAAAGCTGTTTTTAAAAACTACTTTCCATTTATTTATACTTTTTTGATTCCTTATTACATTTCTCTCATCTTGCACAATGAAAGCAAAGCCTGCAGCTCCACTCTTGGTTTACAACCAGTTTCTCATAAATTTCACTTTCAGAAATGCAGGCACTAGCTTTAGAAAAAAAAAAGCAGTGTATAGATTGCAGACACTGCAGGGACATGATCATTTGTTTTCAAAATTGTTTACAGTGGCATTTTAAAATCATGGAAATATTCCTATTTGTTTTCAGTTTTGTCATGATGGCTTATATGTTACCAAATCTTAACTCCAGGCCAAATTTGATATGACAGGATGCATATAAATTGAAAAATAGCAACTGCTAATACCAAGGAATCTATCTATCTATCTATCTGTCTATCTATATATCTATATATCTATATATCATATTCAAAATGATATTTAACAGCTCTTATTTAACATTCATATAGTCTGCTAAGTTTACTGTCCTTCTGCCACATTTTAAGCAACTGCAAGATAAGTTATCATGAACTGACATGTTTCTTCCATTATTATTTTTACTAGAAGATTAACTCAGAGTTGCTCAGGTCCTTAACTCAAATAAGTTTTGTTTTTCTTCATTTAAAATCACTGTTCTGGGGTGGAGCTGGGGAGGAGGGGTTCAGTATTCAGGCTGCCCTGAGGAAAGAGGACACCCCCAGCCCTCTTTCACCACAGCAGCTTGGGGCCAGGTGGAATGTGCCTGTCTCAGGCCACTGCAGATGTAGCGGGCACAGCTGGGGAATGGGTGAGTGTCCCCTGGGCTGGGGACAGACAGACACACAGACAAACAAATGCACAAATAGACAAACTCTCTGAAATATATAGTAGATAACTGCCCCTTTCTTCACCCCTGCCCCCTGCTGGCCCTATGGGGTTATAGATGTCCTGGTCCCCCTCTCTGGCCCCTTGCTGCCCCCATGTGGTCATTCTACAGTATAACTGTCCATCCGGCCAGATCCCTCCCTTTCCATTTTATGAGAAACAATCACATTCCTGGCACATCCCATTGTCCTGGCACAACCAAATCCTAACCTTGCTTTTAAGTTATGATAAGAGGAAACTACATAAGAAATCTGGCGGTCCTAGCTCTTACTGTTTTGTAGGAGTTCTTAAACAAATGGACTCATAGATGGACAGACAGATAGACAGATAGATGCGCATTTCTAATATATAGTAAGATAAGGATTTGTGTGTAGGGAGAGAAATTCACTAATAAAAATCAATACAACATATACCTCCATAGTTCCCATCACCATAGGTATAAAGGCATCACACTGAAATTGTTCCCAGGCCATAATGCAAAGCACTTAAGCACATGCTCAAAGTTATGCATGTGCTTAGCCCTTTCAGAGTCAGTGGGGCTGCTTACATGTTTAATGTTACACATGTGCTTCAGTTCTCTGCTGGATCACAGCCCCACTGCATATTCCTGACTTAGGCAAAATTCATTCTGAAATACAGTGTCTCTCTTCTCCTTTCTTTTCAGCTTTCCCCTTCATTACTTCACATGTTGCTAATTTGCATGGGCAATTTTTCTGCTCAGGGCACATTGATTCACATATTTTATCACCTCTTTCCTGGTTCTCCCCCAGACATTTTCATGACCACTTGGGGCTCAGGAAACAAAGATTCCGCTTCAGCACTGACAGATTTATTCTGGGTTGAGGTATAATTGGGTCTAGTGTATTGTCACCATTGCCCACAGCACAGACACCATCTCTGGGGGGCTCTGGAGCTTCAGCACCCCTGGGAAAAAAGGGTGCTCATCACCCACCAACCACAGCTGTTCGGTGAAGCCTCTGATCTGCTGTTTGGCTGCTGGTGGGAGGTGCTTGAGGGATGGCAGTGAGCAGCGAGCAGTAGAGAGGAGGTGGTGGGGGATAGAAGAGACGGAGTGAGGGTGTGGCCTTGGGAACCGGGCAGAGTGGGGCAGCCTCAGGGCAAACCAGAGTTGGGGCAGGCACTGAGAAAAGCTGCCTTGCAGAACACGCAAGCAAGCCCTGGTGTGGCCTTGGGAACCGGGCAGCCTCGGGGCAAACCAGGGTTGGGGCAGGCACTGAGAAAAACTGCCTTGCAGAACACGCAAGCAAGCCCTGCTCTCAGGAGCTAACAATCTAATGGCAAGTGCAGTGTAAAAGTTGGACAGATGAACGGGGCTGAGAGGGTGACAACAAAAGTCAGGATCTTTGCTGTTAGACAAAGCTGATCTTTGCTGTTAGAACCTCAGAATTAAGAACACCAGTTACAAACTGACTGGCCAAACACACACCTCATTCAGAACTGGAAGTACACAATCAGGAAGCAGCAGAGACGCGCACACACAAGGCAAATACAGTACAGCAACATAGCTTAACAGAAACTACTAAAAAACAAAGGGAAAGTTTAAAAAAAAAAGCTTTGATAGGGTAAGGAAACTGTTTCTGTGCTTGTTTCATTTCAACTAAGATGGTAAAACATCTTCTGCCTGGTAAAGTTTCAAAGCTGTATTAAATCAGTGCTCAGTTGTAAACCTTTGAAAGAACCATCATAAGGTTTTGTTCCAAGTTTCAAACAACCTCCATTCCCGAAGTGTTCGGACCTCTGAGGGTCTAATGTGCACAAAATGTGATAGATTGTGCAAAATCTCGTTTCCCCTGTTCCTGAACTGCTGTGGTATTAATTTGGATTGAATATCTGCCCCTAACGAGTCGAAGGAGTTAATATGGTCCCCACCACTGCCCAATATTAATTATTGTTACACAAGGTTTGAAGTTTGGTGTAGAGGCTTCAGGCTGCTTAGCACTAGTCTAAATCCCTTTTAGCTTTTTCTAACGCAGGAAAAACAGTGAAGTGTTTGAAATGTGAAGCATTGAGTAAGGCTTCCATTCCTACCACTGCCCTCATTTCCTTTCCCGTTAGCTGGGGAGAATCCTGAGAAGGAAGAAATCTCCCTTGTTTGACCATCCTTTGGTTGGTCATAACTGTCCTTAGTGCCAGACAGGGGTGCAGTTCCCTGGAAGGGAGAGATACAACCTGGCCTTTGGCATTTGAGTCAAGGAAATAATCATGAAAAAATATCCCTGCGTTTGCTCAAGTTGCAATCATTAGCCCTGAGGTGGGAAAACTGAAGCCAGAGAGACCAAGTGCGATTCAGGGGGACATGTGCACTTAACTCCTTACTGTCCTTCGGAAGCCCTGAGCCAACATGGGTATTTGTGTGTGTCTGGGTCAGAACTAAACAGGTGGGCTGTGTCTAGACTGGCAAGTCTAGCTGTCTGCACTGGCCATTTGAATTTCCGCAAGAACACTGACG